ACACTACACCATTCTTTCGCAGAGTTGTTTTAATCATCTACGGTATACTTGTAGTGCAGCACGCGGTAGGATATATGGCAAAAAAAAAGAATCTTGGCGTTGCAGTTACCCTTCTGGGTACCTGTACCCTTACTCCTTTCGGCTGCATGGCTTCTTTTAGGGCAACAGCCAAACAGCCCATGCAAGCATCCTTCTGCACATACACATCACGTCAGATGCCACATCACCTAGTAGATCGGTTACTTCGGGAACAAGCATGTGTCACAATTTCTTCACTTGTACAGTATACTTCTGTGCACTGTACCGCGCCATACCACGACCCACACTGGCCCTCCATGACCATGGCAGGGGCCGGAGGGAGGGAGAAGCCGGAAATAAACGGGATGGAAGGTTAAGTGTTGGAGAATGTGGTACAATTATACTTGAATTCACCCACTTGGATATGAAAAATGTGGCATGTGCAGTATTTACTGGAAATGAGGTAAGGGGACCGAGGTAAGGGGACCGCTGGCTCCCTTAATGCCAATCTGTTGAGGGTGATGGAGGGAAGATGAGGAGGGAATGTAGGGAGGGAGATTTTCTGCCGCGTCACGCAGATTTGGACTGTTGTTTTGTGGCGTATACGAGCCCTATACGAGGAAGGTCAAGGTCACTGTGACGGACGTTGGTCCCTCTTCGGGAGAAGTGCGTCTGTAATCAAATGTGACGACCGAGTTCAATCAGTCTTGTCAGCTTGGACGGCATCGATTGATCAGATCATCAATCACCACAATCACCACAATCACCACAATCACCACAATAATTTCTTCCAGACGGTGTGCCACACGCTCGTCTCGTCATGTCTCGGTGCCTCATACCTGGAGTTACACGTGCCGACAGGGCACACACAACCGTTCCACTTTCCGTGATGAAACGCACCCTCAAAACAAATTGAAAATCCACATATGCGACTCGATTCCTCGGGGTCATTCCTCGATTTCCTGCGCAGCGAGTTGCGGGGCAATACTTTGAAATTTTCAATTTATACCCCGGCGCCGTGGTCTGTGGCTATAAGCACTTTTGGCTGTAAACGATCTCGAGATAAATACAATCCGAAACAGAGATCATTAAACTTTTTTAACTACAGTACAAAAGAGTAAACCATCAAAGCAACTTGCTAGGCGACTCAGTCAACAAACAGCGACGTCACCAAAAAAAAATCCCTCAACGTTGCGAAGGACCGCACCAAAAACCAAAAACAAACATTTCATGCGTTGCTGTGTTGATCAAAACGCTCCAATACTCCAATGCGATCCATTTGGGATGAGTCATCTCTCTTTCCACCACCAACACATGAGACCGCATCTCACAGTGAAACATCACACCCAACCTTAATTGAAGAAAACCCCTCAAACACACCTCCGCCTTTAAACCTCGTTAACTTACTTTTCACCTTGCCGTCACTTAAAGTTATGTCCCTCCCCCAACCACCACCAACCACAACCAACCACAACCAACCACCCCCCGCCCGCCCTTCTCACCCGCGCCTCTCTCGCCATCAGAAAGCGCACGAGAGAGGGCATCGGGACAACCCCGGCGATACAAGTGAAATACAGTACCCTTGGGTACAGTATACTGTACCCTTGGTACGACTCGGTCAAACGCCTATCAATGCTTCGCTCTGCACTCCGAGGCTCACCACTCCATGCACCCGCCCGACTCACAGTAAGATACCCTTCTGAGTGGTGAACCTTTTTACGTTCGTTCGCCCACTGCCATTTGTTTCATGCGCTTCATTCATTCCGCCGTCAATCCACCCTCGAGGCCGTGCAGCCACAACTAGATGATCTGGTCTAGATCCACTCTCCCGCCGCCCGATCCTCACACTCTCCTGCCCCCCGCGTACGGCCATCGTTAACGAGTCCGTCAGTTGTGTCGGCCATTGCCTTCGTGGAAGGGAGCCGTCCTCCGCGACGCCAAGCTGACGGAAGACGTATGGGAGTGAACGGGAAAAGGGAGGCAGTAAGGGCACGGGCGCATGTGTTGTAACGTCAAGCTGCTCCGTATGCAGCGCAGTTCCTCCCTTCCAGCTTTCGCGCTCGTGAGCGCGCCAGCTGTTCCATTCCGACGGTTATGTTTTTCTTGCATCCTGATTAGATCCTTCCCTCGACTTTGCTTGCGGCAACCGCTGTTCATGTACAATGTGCACTATATTTCATGTGTATGCTGACTGTGATTTATCTGTTGTCTGCCCTTCCGCTGTGTCTTGTATGATGCCTCCCTTGTTACCCAGAATTGTTATTATCCCCCTTTATTAATCCTCGTGAATCCGCTACATCCTTCATCCTCTCTTTTTACCCCCTACAATACTAGCTTTCGACCGCAGAAATCCACAGTTTGTTTTTATTATTGTACAGCACGTTGTACGGCTCATATGCGGACGAAGCTCAAACCCCATCCATCAATCCCTCCTTCCTCCCTCTTGCAATCACTTGATCTCCCTTTCGCTCAGTCCGACATACAGTCTATATCTCACCTCCGCAAACCCCGGCAGTATGCCACAAGGATTGGTGCTTGTTTAAACGATTTCCAACGAACAACATCCGTTTCACGTGCTGCACTGACGAAACCCCTTTGTCAATCCTACGCATTTATGCCATGCCCCCCTACAAGTACAAGCTGCGCGACACAACTTGTCCATCAACCAAGTTCATCGTATTGTCAGACTTGCGTCTCAGACCAGCACAAGAGTTACAAATATAAACTTTACGCCCCAAAAAACGACGAAGAAAACGCCGCAATAAAACATTAATCTTCCCCTCCAGCCTCGAGACGCAAAATCTCACAACAACAAGAGAGAAACGCTCCTCATCCAAATTAAATTTTCTCTACCTGCCTTACTTTTTTCGTGTCGTCGACAAGGAATATGTCATGTGTGCAATGAAATTGCAGTCTTGTTGTATCACCAAAGACGTGGCAAACCTTTTTTGGTTAAAAAGTAACAGCGCGATCAAAATGTTGTCTCGAGTTCGGCGTAAGGTAAGGCTTCGCGTTTATACCCAGTCTCCACCCCCTTCGCAGAACCGTACAAACACAAACAGCACCCCACAATTCGCAACTTGTCAAAAAAAAAATTGACACGTCAAATCGCAGATTCCGGATGCAAGAAATGATATTCCCTCCGAAATCGCTGCATCCCATTGATCACGTCTATCGCTCATATCTGTGTGTACGGAACTCTGCTACTGTACTGGACTGTATGCAGTGCCTACTAGACTGGCAGCGTCATTCGTGCACATCACGCTCAGCCGTTCCGTCGAGCCGCTTACGGCCACTGCATGGAGACGCCCGACAGTCTACATTACGAGAAGATCAACAAACCGCACTTCACAGTACGATGTACCGTACAGCACTGAACGATGCACGGACGATGATCAATAGTCCACAGTACACGCCACTCCGGAATATGGCACGCCATTCCTCGGTTCAAGTCCCTACCAGTGTTTCGGTGATCATCTTGGGATGATCCCTTTCAAGGAAACACCTCACAAGGATACAACTGTGCGAAAGTTCTGTTTTGCCTTGTGTGATGTTGAAGGCAGCAGCGCAGGAGTATTTCACACAAATTCTACGTCTCGCGAACATGCTACGGTAATAGTTCACTTGTCCATTGCACAAGGAAGCAGTCTGGTCTGGGAATATTTAATTTGATAAGGCATGAATCTCCCGTCCTCATTCTCTTGCCAAACAGTTCACTTGGAATTACTCTGATACCGTATACTGCTCAAGGGCCAGCCGCATGTCTCTGGACTACGCGTTTCTTCCCGACCTGCCACCGTAGTACAGTGACCTCTTACACTCCCTACAAAAGGAAAAGGGAAACACGATTATGAGAGGCAACAGCTGCTCGCAGTAGCAAAATGAGACAAACATTTCCTTTCCCTCGCGTGTCATAGTGATAAAGCATACTCACACGCGGCATATCTGTATCAGACTTACACAGGAAAACAAAAAACAATTACACGTCCCAAATCTTATGTTCGGATTTGTGACGATTTAAGCCGTCAACAACTGTGTGACGATTTCTGTGAATTTTCATGAAAGTTTTGCCCACTGGACAACCGCCGTCACAAATTGTCCCAAAAAGGCTTTAGAGACTAGATACTTTGCGAAATAAAAGTCGTGATTCGAAATCATTTTATTCGTGGGTTTACGCAAGGCAGAATCCTGCATCCTCGGTGCGGGTAACAGAGATGGGCGCCGCAGGCGCCGGGTAACAGGCGCGCAACCGGGGCCGCGCAACGGGCCAAATTGAGCACACGTGGCTATGCTGGCAGCGCTGTGGTGCCAAATCGCTCCAGGTTGCTTGATTTTGCCGCTCGCCCGAATGTTACCCCCCATGTTACCCGCTGTGGCACGACGCGCCGGATGTGAAACAGGATGTGCAAATCTGGCCTTGGTCACCGGGCCGGATGTAGGTCGGAGGCAGGGTAAAAAAAAGAGCGATAGGAGCTCACAGGGTAGGAAAATAAAAGGGGCGATCACATTCTACAACTGGTAAATCTTGTAGGGGAATTGTCGATGTGGCGATGGTTGAGGTATGAGAGGGGAAGGATACTAAGAATACTGGAATACAGTTGGCACTCCGGTGCACTAATTCGGTGGGCGGCGACGGCCGCTCTGTGGCCTCGGCCGCCCTCCGGGTTGTCGGAATATAGCATAGTCAAGAGTCTTTCTCTACTGTTCTCACCATTCGGCGGACGCCGAGGTTCCGGCGTTGGCGGCCCCTGCCGCCACAGCGGCGGCAGGGCTTAATGGATGTGACGATGGGGGGGTGGTGTCGGACGAACGGTCTCCAATCATGACAACTCTGTGAATGGAGTGACGTTTGACCACTATGGAAACCTGCTGGTGACGGTCGAAGGAGGGACGAACGCTGGCGTAAGCCAGCCTGGTGACCCGCCCGGAGGTGTGCCAGACTCGCCGCTCTCGGGCGCGATGCTTCAAGCACCGATCATGAAGAGAACGTTCAACGGGAGAATTAGGTACAACCAATACAAGAAGCCCGGGACCGCGCGCAAGGTCGGGGGAGACGTGTGGGTATACGGGGCCGGACTGCGAAACTCGTTTTGCTCAGTGACGCATTCGAACGGGCACATCTACGGGACAGATAACGGAGCGAACGCGAAGTTTGGTGCGCAGAACACGAGCTGCAATGGGGCCGGGCCGGTTGCTACCGAGCCGACACGCTGAAGAAGGTGCGGCGCGGTGGGTTTCACGGGTACGCTAACCGGAGTCGTGGGCGGTTTGACCGGCGGCAGTGCGTGCACCGACCACCGCAGAAGAAGATGCGTGGATACGAGCGGCACATCGCGACGTTGCAGTCAAGCACTGACGGGCTGATCGAGTACACTTCGAACACATTTGGGGCGCAGATGCGGGCGGACTTGCTCGCGAGCAAGTTTGCCGTGTCCGGGGCCGGGCAGGTGTTCCGCGTGCGGCTGATCCGGCGTGAGACGGTGCGGTCGGTGTTCGAGCTGACCAAGTACTCGGGGCTGACGGCGGCGATGTCGCCCACGGGCGGGGTGGTGATGCCTCGCGTGTACCAGGGCAAGGTGGCCGTGCTGCTGCCCAACGAAAAGAACCCTGGGCGGCTGGTGGTGACGAGCGTCAACCCGTCCGCGGGCCGAAGCGCGGCGGTAACGTGATCACGGTGACCGGGTGGAATGTGCGTTGGCCGCTGACGGCGACGGTGGGCGGGAAGCCGTGCCGCGTGGTGGGCAACTTTAAAAAGGGGCGCAGCTTCACATGCGTGGCGCCGTCAGGAAAGGGGCGCGCGGCGGTGGTCGTCAAGCGGTTTGGCAAGCGCTCGCAGAGCTTCGGGTATGAGTACTTATACTTGAAGGTTTGAGCGGGGTGCGTGTAGATAGCGCGCGGGAAGCGGGAGCGGGGGGGACCTTTTTGTTGTTGTTGTTGAGGAAGGTCTCTCGGCTTTGGTGATGGCGACATGAAGAATCGACGAGTGTACTGTGATAGACCAGCAAAAAAATGCGAACACGTATGGTAAACGGCTCCGGGACCGGCCTACGAACCCACCGGAGATCCGGGTTTCCAAGCACGCCGACGTCCGGCAGTCTGGGTAAAGCGGTTCTTTACCTTAGCAAAGGTTCAGATTACGTGTGTGCTTTACTTTTCTTGCTTATCGAACTCTCTGCAGAGTTCGAACGACATGGCTATTTACTCTACGGCAGGTTCCCCGGATTAGAAAGGACAGCCAGTACCATCCAGTCATATTTTCCATAATGATCGTAATTGAATATCTCGCGTCTCGGGACATACCCCATCAACGCGCCTCATGGGAGGATCGCCGTGCAACACACAGTTGCACAGGGCGATTTTTTTAGTGCAGCATTTAACACTCCCACCTTTTAAAAGGACGACTGTGAGGCCTTCTTAGCAAGGCGGATGATTCACTGCTCCAATGGGGTCAGATCAATGCCCGATGACAGTAAAATGTCAAGCGACTTGCATGGCCCCGGCTTGGTGAGGGCGTCCGCGGGATTGCTATTTCCAGAAACTAATCCCACATTTGATATTTCGTAATCGTTGTAGGCTTCACGAGCGGCAGCCACATCGATCATCAGCAGTTTTTCAGTAGTGTGCGTTGCTCTGGTGATGACATCAAACATCTGTTTCGAGTCTGTGAACATACACAGGGGGATCTTTTGGCGGTATATGGTCTCGAGATCGTGCTTGATGATGTACGCATTGTCAAACGCAGCGGAAAACGCATAAACTTCTCCAGCCATGATGGAACGCACAACGCGACGAGACTTCCGACTACTATACGCCAAGACGTGCGATTTGTTGCTGCTATCGCACAGCAAGATAATGTATCCCAGCTGCGAGGTAGAGTCGTCATTAGTCGCAAACGATGCATCAGCATATGTCCGTATGTGAAGCGATGTGCGATCCAGAGGTTGATACTGAAGTGAGAGATTAGGGCTGCTCTTAACTTTCTCGATGGCATTGTTTAGTTCCTTCACGTGCCGACGACAAAACAGTTACCTGAGCGGCTCTGTTCGTAGCACAGCAGATGTCGGGGCGGCTATGAGATAGCCATCCGACGGCGGCGCGAACCGAGCGGAAACGCTCGAAGTCTATGTCATACGGGATAGGACGAAGGGACTCTGTGTAGTCCGGCTGTCCGATTGAGAATAGGCCATTCTCCCACTTGATAGTGACCCCCACAAATTCAAAAGAATCTCAAACTAGCGGCTTCGCCTCGAACCGTTTCTTAGTGGCGACAGCGAGGTCCTTGAAATCCTTATCGCCCACGAAAAGGCAATCATCCACGTACGTTCCCCGTAGTCCTTCCGCATCCACAAGTCCTTGTTTGATGTACAAGGACGGATCACCAGCGAGGGGATCATGTGCAAAGTAGGGCGCACATGGTCAGAGAATGTTGCGTTCCAATAATCACCGGCATCACAAATTCCGTACAACGGTTTCTTTAAGCGTAGTACCTCGTTCTCAGATAGGCTGAATAATGGACGATCATCTTTGCGCGGCTTTAGATAAATTTCGCGTGACAAATTGTCTTTGGATTGCAGGTACGCCTGCGTGACGTCCAGATGAGCAGCTCGAAAGCCTCTCACAGCAGCAGTGCTTATGGCTAGCTTGGTAGAGCTTTGCCTCAGAGTAGGACTTTTGTGGACAGTAAACGGCTTCAATTTATCCTTAAATCCTTGGCCAGCAAATCGAGCTTTCGCCTTCTCCTCCGTTATTCCTTTGTTCTTAAGTGTACAAACGAAGCGACCACCAATAACGTTTGCCCCCTTCGGTATGGAAGAAGCAAGGACTTTGATCCAAGTATCTCGTGCAGACAGCCCGTTAATCTCAGTCCGCTTCGCGATCATAAACTGCTTTGAATCTAGACGGGCGTCTCCCTGTTGTAATATTTCGGTGAGGCAGATGGGTACAGAGTCTCCTCTACCTCAGCTCCGCCTTCTGTTTCCCGAGTTATATTTCCAACTCGGTCACATAAGCGGGTAAGGAATGCCTCTCCTTCGATACGACGCTCAAATGTATCCTCCATCACAGTAGGTAGCTCGGCTTGTGACGGTGGTACATATGTCAGCTCAAGATTTTCGAGGCCGGCTATGTCTGGAGACGGATTGTACTCCTTCAGTTTGTCGACTGATACCTGCTTCAGCTTCCCATGGTCATCGATCCATACTCTCTTGTTATCACCTGCAACAATTCGGAAAGGTCCCGTCTATTTGTTTACAGGGCGCTCGCGGTAGTACAGGACATCCATACCAACCCTGAGCTCATTAGTAGCGACAGCAGGCACGTTACGGCTCACAGCAGTCCGAAGCCTGGAAGAAGCAGCTAGCTTTACCATTTCATCTCGAGCTTTTTTCATTGCCTTCATTCTCTCTCGCTGGTCAGGCAGGTCCGAAAGGCCGGTGGGCATCTTAGGTACTATTCCAAAGACAAGAAGCGTGGGGGCGAGCCCTACGGGTCCTGACGTATTGTTCATGGCGTGCACGGCAACAGACAAGGCATTTTCACTATCTAAGTCGGGATGCTCAGCACAGACTTTACGATAGATAGTACGTAGGTACGAGTGGTAACGCTCACCAGACCCGAGAGCGTTATGGCTCTCTATTCCAGATGTCTTGATCTCGATTCTTGCCATGCGAAGCAGTGAATTCCACAATTAAGACACAAATTGACGACCTTGATCTGTGTGAATGGCTTTTGAATACCCGACGTACGGGTTTACCCAAGCCTTCAAGTATGCCTGCCAGACGTCTTGCGTGCGCTCGCCATCTGACAGGAAGGTTGCGGCGCTGAACATAGTGTCTTTGTCGACAATATGCAGAACAGGCTTAGAATCTAAGTACATTATGTCGATAAGCACGAGGCGATTGAAGACGATGTCCTCTTTAGGCATAGAGACTTGGAAACGTCCAGGTTGCTCAGATATGCGTTGGCAAATGTCGCACGATCGTGTGATCTCTTCAAGATTTGCAAGGGTCTGAGGTATTGCGTGGGGATCGTTCGCTCTCTTCATGAGGCTATAGACGCGCTGGGGGTTTGGGTGATAGAAGTGCTTATGAATGCGCTGAAGCTCAGCTTGAGAGTACATTGTGCCGTATTCCCATTCGTAGTAAATATGGCCGAGCTTACGTATGAGTGGTACCCTATAGCGATTCTCCTTGCACTCCAGCACATTTTCCGCACTGTTAACAACCATCTCATGCTCGTCCATGACGTCAAGTCCTATGAGAAGGTGGACATTGATGTCCACGACATCTATCGCCAAGTCAAGATTGGCATCTCCGGAAAACGGGATACGAAAGTTTGTACGGCCAAGGCTCATACGGCGCTCCGTTCCAAACTTGAATACGCGTTTTGACGCTGGACTGATCGATAGAGGTATGCCCATGAAGCGAGAGTAAGCTTCCGCTTGGGGACGACCAACTACAGACTTCTCTGCTCCTGTATCAAAGCATGCACCATGGAACTTTTCCGTAACAGTAGCAAGAATATTTGTCGTAAAAGCTACATCAAGATCCTCAACATCGTCCCCGTCACCTCCATCCTCCCCATTTGAGATGAGAGCGTCAAATAGGTGATCATCAGCAATGTCTGGTTCATCCTCTGTGTCTGGTTCACCATGGGAGCTGTCGAGTTGCTGACATTGCTCGAATAAAACGAAGTGAGCATTGCGCGTTTCCCCGGTTTTCTTCGTATAATACTCCATCTTCTTTTTCGCTGCCCTTGTGGCGTTGATTGGCTTCGTACACAGGTTGACCATGTGGTTCGGGTCGTCACAGTTGAAGCAGCCCATCACACGCAGGGGATCGAACCTATTCAAAGAAGAGGGTGAAGCACCAGGACGCTTCCATGTCTTCTGAGCGTGCTTGTTATTACTTACGTAATGACCTTGTCCTTCGTAAAGAATCCCCGGCACATTTTCCTTGTCACCACGAAGGTATTTGGTCCTCGAAGTCACATTATCGCGCATCACTGCAATTTTCGCTTCACGCTGCAAGTGTAGTGCCGCTTCGAGTTCTCTGTACAGCTCTTGAAAGCTCAAATTGTGCGTAGCAATTCGACTTAGAGGCTCAGTCGCCCAGGGGCATCCTACGGTAGCGTTGCGCCAGAACTCGAGCTTATGTGCGTCGCCTCTGTGGGATGCTGGGACTTGAGGAGACAGTTTTGTTATCAGCTTGTAAACCTTTTCCAGCGCAGACGACTCATCGTGCCCTTCACTAATATACTTGCTCAGACGAATGCCAGAGAGGTGGTTCTTAACCCGGTTTTGCCTGACGATGGAGTTGTATTCAGCTTCAATCATATTGACCGCCTGTTGAAAATGATTGGCGAAGTTGTCGACGCGGTCGAGATAGAAGCGTTTAGCATCTCCCCGTAGTAAGTTATGGAGAAACTGTAATCTCTGTCGTGGTGTCAGGTCATAGTCGCGAGATACTTGCTGGTACTCGGCGACATACTCCATCCAAGATTCGCCGATGTCTCCGGAGAATTTTGCCGTATTATCTTTGAATCGCATGGCGATGTTGTGTGCCAGTTTGTTGACATTCCCACCGTGACCTCCATTCCCTGCGGGCCCTGCAGCACGCGCATCTCCAGCCGCAGGTCCCGGTATGGCTACACGTTCGACGCGGCGCCCAGCAGCCATTATATTACGTACGATCTCCGTAGCTGCTACAATGTCCTCATTATCGACGTAAACGCTCGTAGCCAGGGCCATTAGGACGCGACGTGAAGGGTGCTGAGTGAGGTTCGCCCCGGCGGCATTGAGCCAGTCGCGGACACGCGCGTAAAGCGCAGGAAAGACACGCAGCTCCTTCGAAAATAACACGGCGGGCGGAAACAGCTCTGCGAACTCAACTCTTACTTGAGCATTTGTCATGGCGCCCTCGTGTACGCGGAGCGCAAGCTCTCGAACGGAGAGAATGAATCCTTGTATTTCCGACGCCATTCCTTCCACGTCTACATTCTCCATGAAAGGAAGAGGCCGCCGCGCGTGTACATCAGCGTTGTCAGTCATTTTTGTTGTGAGAATGCAGCGACAAAAACAAAAGCAGCCTCACCAGCAACTGAATGAATAGAGGCAACAGTAGGAATTTCACAGGGAGTGCGACAGCCACCTCGATACAAGGAGCACGAAACGTCGTTGATGCGCACCTCCCTTTTTGAGACAGATGTGAAGGACCAGCACTTTTTGGGTTGCAAACCAAGATACTTTCACTGGAGTGGTAAATCGCGAATGTGATAGACCAGCAAAAAATGCGAACACATATGGTAAACGGCTCCGGGACCGGCCTACGAACCCACCGGAGATCCGGGTTTCCAAGCACGCCGACGTCCGGCAGTCTGGGTAAAGCGGTTCTTTACCTTGGCAAAGGTTCAGATTACGTGTGTGCTTTACTTTTCTTGCTTATCGAACTCTCTGCAGAGTTCGAACGACATGGCTATTTACTGTACGGCAGGTTCCCCGGATTAGAAAGGACAGCCAGTACCATCCAGTCATATTTTCCATAATGATCGTAATTGAATATCTCGCGTCTCGGGACATACCCCATCAACGCGCCTCATGGGAGGATCGCCGTGCAACACACAGTTGCACAGGGCGAGTTTTTTAGCGCAGCATTTAACATGTACAGAAAGAGTAGTCCAGCGATGTACTAACTACTGTAAATTTTAATTTATTTTATTAGTGTTGGGGCGCCACCATTGGTGCGCGGGGCCCACTCTCTCCCTCCCGCCCCGTGCTGGCGTCACCCTCTGACTCACCGTCCCTGTGGACTTTTGCCCGGGAGGCGTGTGAGCGACGGCGGGTGACGATGCTGGGTGACGACGCCGGGTGACAGGCGAGCTACTGCGGCGGCAAAGCTCCTGTTTGTCGCGCGGGGTCTTGCCGGTGGCGGGTGCTCATACGCGGGCGCGGAGGGGGCGCGCGGCTTCCACGGGGTCCAGCGCCTTCTGAGGCGCCTCTCTCGGGGACGGGAGTGAGGAAAGGGCAGCGAGAGAGTGCGAGCGCGTTTTGGGGCGCCTCTCTCGGGGACGCGAGCGAGGACCGGGCATGGAGAGAGAGCGACAAAGACAAAGCAAAGCGTTATCATAGGCCCGCGCCAATGTGCGTCCCCGCCCCGCCGCTATCGCGGCTCAGCGGGCGCGGGCCTCCACGCCAAAAAAAAGACCGAAAGAGCCGCGACAAGGCGCGTCAGTGGCGAGCCAAACAGGGGTGCACGTGTATGCCCATCGCTTACCCATCCTCCCCTCCCGCCGCCGTGGTCGCCGTTTCTGAACACATCCAGAAATTTTTGAATTTCCCGCACGGGTGGGGACTATAGTCTCCACCCGTGCGGGAAATTCAAAAATTGAGTACTTGCCATCCATTCCCCTACAAGCGGCACGGCAAGCGCTGCGCCGTCCAGCCGAACTTCTCCAACCCGCTACACTTCCCCCTCGCGGCCAACGCCCGCTCCATCTCGCCTGCCTGGTTCTCCGTCTTCCCGTCGAACCGCTCGAACGCCATCTTCGCTTACTGGCACTCCGACGGCATCAACCTGCGCCACTGTGCCAACCCGCCGCCCTGCTCGGTATCCGCGCCCGCTCCTGCGCCAACCCCGCAGTCGCGTGCCACCCGCGCGACTGCTCTGTAATCCCCTCCGCGTCCTGCCTCGTCCGCAGAGACCCCACGTTCCTGTCACCCTTCTTCATCGCCGCCGCCGCCATCGTTGCCTTCCACCACTTGCTCAACACCGTCTCTTCGGGCCGGCACGTCAAGTCTGAGTGATGACACCGCCTATGGACGCGGCGCCAGCCGTTGAGGAGGGGACACGGGCGCGTCCGCGTGCTACAGTTGCACTGGCCGTTGCGAATACTCTGATGGAGACGCCTGCCCTGCTGTCAATGTCATCAATTGCGAAAAGTTCCCGTGGATCCCAACCTCTCCAGAGCGAGCTGGCGGGCATGAGGAGAAATCAGAGTAATATGCTGCGTGTTGAAGCAGTGATTGAGGCCGCAGTCCAATTGGAAACACTCATCCGCCGTAAAGATCCAGCCCGTTCTGCTCTTGCCGAGCATGACATAGATTTCATGGCTGAACCTCCGGGCGGACGTATTTGGCTGCCTCTAACTAGGAATACATTCGGTTTCATGTCTAGACCGGTGCTAAACACGAGCTCCAACTTTGACCACGGGGGCGGCCCAGGCCGCCGTCTAGGACCGTCTCAGTCGATCGTCAACAACTTCTTTAATGTTGGCGCTCCAAGAGGTACGTTCGGAGAATACTTTCATTTTAACGCAGAAGCTCAACGCGGTGATTATTGCAGTTCTGACCTCTTATTTTTATTTGCAAGTGGTTACTTTACAGATCGGCTGGTTATCGACAAGCGCCCAATCTCCCCACCAAACAATGCGCGACAGGCTGGTGGCAAAGCAGCAGCTGCAAGTGGTGCAGAAAAATCGCGGAAGAGGTCTTATCAGCAGTCGACGCTCGGCAACGCAATCGTAAGCTGCAGAGAAGCAGTTTTCGTCGCAGCGCCCACTGGCATCCCGTACTTAGCCGACGTTGTGCTTACTTTTTTTACAAGGCCTCGTACTCAGCGAAGCATTTGATAGACTACAGTATTTCCGAGAAAAACGGCATGCGAAAATGGGCAACTGCTCAGTCAAAGTACAAAGCACTAACTGAAGCCTTTTGCGAACATGTGTTTGAGTTCGGCGATGAACGCGATGGCATCGAGCGTAGACTACAGGAATACGAGAGTGCCGTGATGTCCTTACAAGAAAAAGGCGGGCGCAAGGCTGCTGTCACAAAGTCACGGGCGTACCTCAAGAGTTTTCAAGCTCCGCGTGGCAACGGGAGTAGTATAATCAAGTTTAAGAACAGATCCCAAACATTAGCACTCATCCCTGTCTTAGAGAGATTGAAAGCGGCTTCTATCAAGTTCAATTCCTGCAATGATTAATGGAGGATGAACCCTTGCGTATCCACTCCACTACACATCCTACCTGACACATTTTTGCAAACGCTTCATGACATCTGTAACTGTCCTGCGATGTGCAAGCACGAGTACAAAAATGATGACAAACCAAACGTGATGCACGTGACCCAGTTGAGGACGAGGAAGCGGTCCACGACGACCGGCAGGCGAATCCTGGAGCGCGTCGGGCGGATGATCATGTTGAACATGAGCCAGAGGGCCTTGCGCGGGGCGCTATTCCCCACGATGCTGATTTCGAAATCGGTCGGGGACGTCGACGTCAAACTCGTCGTTCCCCAGGCTGCGATGGTGCCTGTTGTGGTGTTGGCGGAAGATCTCGCTGATCGGGACGACCATGGCGACGTTGGTGGCGATGGAGAGGAGGCGGTTGTAGACGGGGTTGCGAAACACGAGCATGTGCGTGGCCTCGTACATGAAGCAGAGGACGCAAGCATTGACGTAGGGCCAAAAACAGACGCTGCACACGATGGCGACGATGAACTGATCGCAGGAGAGGTCGGTCAGGTCAGGGTCATCTGGCAGAGGATGCACGCATACGCATATAACTGGGTGTGCCAGTACACATCGTAAAGCTTCCACATAGACGGGTGCTCGCGCAGAATTTTCTCGCGCCGCGACACATGCAGCCGCCAGTACGGCTTCGAGACGTGCTTGGGCGCGGGGGTCGGTGGGGGTGAGACAGCGAGGCGGTGGAGGATGTTGCCATCTGGCATGGTGACGGAGGGGAGGGGTGGGGCAGGAGATCGGCGGGCAGGGGGTGCTGCTTTTTGAGGCGGAGAGGGCGGTGGTGGGAGGGGGGAGGAAGGGTTAGGAGTGGGAATTGGGTGGTGTGACGGGAAGGACAAGTCGAGTGAGGAGCGTGACTGCGTCGGAATGGGGGGGGGAATTCGGGCGCGAATGCGGCGACCTGGCGGGGGGGCGTGTTGCTGTTGCGTGCGTGATGGCGGTGGCGCTACTGGGGAGGCTGGGCGTTGCGAGAACGAGCGGCATGTGGCGGGCACGGCGCGCGGGTTGCGGGGCGCGGGTTGCGAACCCTGCCCCTGGGGCAGGGTGGGTTCATCCTCCTTATCTTGGCCTTTGTGAGGGAGCCGGAGCCCTTGAGCGACGGGGTACTACG